AACTGTCTTAACCACATTTAATACCTAGTTAAGGTAAAAGTTTTCATTTTTCCATTTGTCGAGTTAAAATGGATGCAAGACAGTTGACGCAAACTCACTCAAAATATTAGTTGGCATTGATGAATTTAACCAAGCTCTTTTAAAAAACCCTTCTAGATCAAAAATGGAAACTATTTTTCCTGAGTTATTCACAAGCCAAGAATCTACTTCGCGATTATATAAATGTAAAGTCTGACCAGACACCAACCGAACAGAAAATAAACAATGCAAGATGTATATATATATATATATATATATATATAAATATATATATACATATATATATATATATATATATATATATATATATATATATATATATATATATATATATATATATATATATATATATATATATATATATATATATATATATGTATATATATATATATAATGCAAAATATATATATATATATATATATATATATATATATATCTGTTTTTTAAACATAATTAGTATATGTTATGAACTATTTTTAATACCTTTTTTATATTTTAAATTAAAAAATATCAATATGAGGAAAAGTTAGGTTTTTATCTAAAATGCATAAATTGTTTTTTGTTTTTTTTTAATTTTATTTAGGTGCCCCAAGTCCTTATAGACTTATCACAGAACACCGTGGATAAGCATTCAATTGGAAGTTCATGCCTCCTTCCTAACCAATGTCGCAAAACTTGCCTAGAGGTAGATTTTGAACCACGGATCCTTTGTTTCTGAGGCAAGCGCGCTGCCACTGCGCCACGGCTGCTCGATATTTCACACATTGATTTTAGCTTTTTTTTTCTTGTTATGTGATCGTGTATTGTTTGATAATAACCTTAAGGTTACAGATCATGATCTGAATTAATCTTTACTGGTAGTAAAGATGACCAGGATGTTCAAATTTTTCAGTGGACCATCAAACTTCAATATAACAGTGTAAGTATAACTGAATTTACAATCACAAATGAACCTAAAATGATTTTATCTACCATTGCTCCTGCCATTATATGACGATTACCTTAAGCCGGAATAAGAAAAACAGCAAACAACCGAGGCAGGAAGAAACCTCTTTCTTAATTATTAGCATTTTAACAGATACTACAGTGAGAAAATCTTGATCAATAATAAACAAATGACCAAAATAAACGTACAGTTAAGAAGCAAAAAATAGGAAAAAGCAAAAAAAGTTATTTTTTAACAGATTAGAGTTGAAATAAAAATACAGTACTGAAATAACATGTGGTTATTTTAGTACTGTATTGTTTTGAAAGCTTAAAAAGAATACTGTATTGTTTAGAGTCAAAGTTCAAAAAGAAGTTTTAGGTTTGAAAACTTTCAAATGCTCTAAAACTTTTAGAGCATTTGAAAGTATTTAAATTTATATTTATGCCAATAAATGTTTTAAATACTCAATTAAATATATATATATTTTTTCTTTTGTCAAGACTTTAAAAATTTGTGATCGTAAATATTAACTTACTCGTTAAGAATATTTTGGCCATTAGTAACTTTGGCCAATTTTAGTTGAGTTGATACTTGATAAAATTGACAAAGTTAACTCACTCAGAATTTTCCCAGATGTTTCACCTTTTGTAAACATTTCAATTACTCTCTCAACTGGAAGTGGACAAGCAGGTGTATTTTATAAATAATCTAAGATGAGGCATTAGGCTTCCATTTTAGATTTATCTTGGGTCCCATAACTATTAATTGAGCACATCTTTTCGTTCCTCACGTCTGTCACAATTTTCAACGACTAAACTTTTCATTTTATAATAATTTACCATTGATATTGTAGCTACGAATGGACATCATTAAAATTGTAGCTACGAATGGACATCATTGAAATTGTAGCTACGAATGGACATCATTGAAATTGTAGCTACGAATGAACATCATTTAAATTGTAGCTACGAATGGACATCATTGAAATTGTAGCTACGAATGAACATCATTGAAATTGTAGCTACGAATGGACATCATTGAAATTGCAGCTACGAATGGACATCATTTCAGTTGACAAAAATTTCAAACATTTAATAGACACATATACAACTTGCCTATTCTTTTCTGATGATGTAATATATAAATTTGAAAACATCTCATCTAGTCAATTCTTACTACGCTATTTAATTCTTCCTAGCTCTTCACGAATGCTTTCGTGATTTAAAATATTTTTTTGATGAATTCTTCAAATTTTTTATTTTCTCGTTGAACCGATTCAATGATGCTGATGGTCCACCAAACAGAAGAAAATCCACACAAAACAAAAATACTTTTGAAAAACTATAACGAAGCCATTTTCTAGCTTTTTTCTCATGTCAAGCAATTTCTTAAAAAACAACGATTGCAAACAAGCTCGGTCCTCTTTTCGTGGAAAAACAAACGTTTCTTTGAGCAAATGAATTGTAATTAACAATTGGTTTATAACTGATTCAGTTATACAAGAAAAGTTAGTTAGATTTTTAACAACTGTTTGAGCAATTAAAAAGTTAGCCACAATCCCGATTAAGGTAAAGTAATCGTTTCTTGTATACCTCAATATTAGGTATAAATGTCAGTGTTTTAGACAACTTCTACTACCGTCTTGTACTTTTTTCTTGCTACCCGGTTAAGCTATAGGCTTGTTACGTTTTTAAAGAACTTTACCAGGCACTAGTTAAATATCTTCAAATGTTTATTTTTTTGAGTGGTGCTACTTTTGCCATATTTATATTAGAACCTATTATTTAAAATTATAAACCTATTATTTAAGAATATAAAATACCTGTTTTTAATAACATCATTAGTTTTTTTTTTTAAACAGAATGTGATTGGATAACTCTAAATTTTGATAGTTACACGGTATTTCATTAAAAATTAAAGACTGTTCTGTGAAAAGTCACATATTTTTACTTCGTTTTAGCTATTATATCCAGTGGCGACTCTACGAATAAAATGAGGGGGGAGGGGGTGAATCCTTAAAAAGTACCGACTGGTTTCTAAAAAAAACGAATTAAAAAAAAAAAAAATTGATACCCAAAGTGAAAATTTAACCGACTTATTTGTGTCAAATAACCGACAAAATTTGTGAAAAAACCGACTATAACTTGAAAACCACCTTCTTTTGGAGGGTGTAACCCCCCACACACTAAAATCTCCTCTGATTATATCTCATTGGTAATAATAAATACTGTCAATTATACGGCCGACCTTAATATAAAGTTTTCCTAGGAATAAAATTTAACCCCCCAGTTTTGAGTAAAAATTACAAATTTTTTCCCAGTATTGATTTGTATGAGGCAGCTGCGTCTTTTTGAAAGTTTGCATCTAATGAATTCAAGATAGTTTAAAACCAATGAAATGTTAAAAAAATTATATAAATACTTGAATATACAATTTCGTAAATTTAGATGGTGCAAAATTGAACAGTAAGAAAAACCAAATGGTTTCTTTGTAACATAATAAAACAACATTAGTAGTCTCGAAAAAAAATGAGAACAATGTTAGCTGCTACTAAAACCAAACATTCATGATTAATTTCAAATTTGAGAAATTAAAAACCTTTTTAAGTAACTATTAAAGAGAAATGTCAAAGCTATTGTTGGAACCAATGGTATAGTTATTACAATACCCACTACGATGTGATAACCAGCAGGTGATTATGATGGAAAGGAAACTCACAACACTTTCTTGTTTTAGTGCTATAGAATGAATAAAAATTTTATTGAAAAAAAAGTTTAGTAAAACAAAAAAAATAAAGATAAAATAAAAAATTGAAATCTTTTACATATCTTTTTATTAGATATTAACTAAACTTTTGAAAAAAAAAAATTGAAAAAACTTCTTTGAAAAATCTTTTTTGGAAAAACCTCTTCGAAAAATCTCTTTAAAAAAGTTCTTTAAAAAACTTTTTTTTAAAATTTTTTTTAAAAGGTACTTAAATAAAGAAATTTAAAAAAATTAACTTTATTAATTCATCTATATTGTGGCCTTTTGAAGGAGTAGGTGTCACGGTAATGCTAGACGAAGTGTAAGTTTATTCTCATTGTGGAAACACATTTTATACCATTGCCCAAAATAACAGTTTATCAAGACTTTACTATATAAGGTATGACACTTGTATTAATTGAAATAACAATAAATATATTCAGTGCTCAAATTGGAGAAAAAAAGTAACGTGACTTTTTTCAGTAGTTTCGAAATCCCGTGTAATAATTGTTATAGTTAGAGAGAAAATGGTAGCGAAATGTTTTTTTCCAAAAACGTGGAGACATAGATAAGACCGTCATTTCCCCACATTGAGCATTACATGAATGGATACGTATAGATGTATTGTTCGTATTTTATTCAAATAAAGTTTAAGAAAAATTTAAAAATATGAATACCCATAAAGAAATTACCCGAGTCTTAAAGTGGATTTTTTGTTAGATGTTTATTGAAAAAAACAAAACGCGCCGTATAATGTTTTATTTGGAAACCAAGTAAAGTTACATCTTTGCTTGTTTTACTTTAATTTCGTAACCAAAATCAAAAGTTATTTTTTTATTTCTTTATCAAAAATAATAAACACTGGACAGTAGACATTGATCAAAAAAATCGATCTTTTAACATTTTGCCCCCCTTGGAAATTTGAGTACTCTACGCTCATGGTATGATATAGATTTAAAATTATAAGGACCAATAAAAAGATAAAAATTCGAGTACTTTACGCTCAAGGTATAGTATAGATTTAAAATTATAAAGACCAATAAAAAAATAAAAGATTAAATTTTTTTTTAAGTTTTAATTATTTACTAGTCAGAAAAACATTTTTTTAAATGACGAAAACATTTAAAAGTAAAACAAATAGAGTGATATAATTGACAATTTTTATGAATTTGTTTATTTAACACTCACCCTGATTAGATGCCATTGGAGCATTAGAGTGAAAAATATTTAGTTGAGAGATTTAGTTTGGAGTATAAATTCCATAGTTAATATATTATTGTATGTCACAATATATTTTTGGATGATGTAACAGAGATGTTTTTATTTTTTTGTTTTTTATAAACACAGTTTAAAGAAGCCTTAAAATTTTTATGAGGAAATAAAACTCTTCGTATGCACAGTTTTTATTGACTTAAAAAAATAATAAAAAATTTTCCAAGGTAAAAATATAAACTTTCAATTTACTTTCTATCGTTACAAAAATGTTTTTTGTTTTTTTTGTCTCTGTTACATTTTTAGTTTATGTTTAAATTCACTTTAATTTTAACAAAGTCTAAATTATTTTATTAAATATATTTGCGGTAAGCAACAAAGTAGTTTATTTTCTAATAATTTACTTTTTATCACTTAAATTTTAAACAGATTTTGTTTAAATGAATGATAGTCAAGATGAAGTGTTTTACGAGCCAAAGAGTTACTTTACAGAGAAAATGACAAATAACTCTACTTTTAATGAAAAACAGTCTTCTGCTCGACGCAAATCTCACCGGTTGTCAAGCGGTGACCGGTCGCCTCTAGATCAAAGTAGAAATTCGAGTTGTCAAAATATTTCTACTAAACCACAGGAACTTAAAGCAAAAAGGATATCTCAAACGTTTCTCGATCATATCAGTCAGCAATTTAAAGATATTTCAATAACGCGGTCATCAAGTTTTGAAAAAGTTTCAAAAACATCGATAAAAAGGACTAAAAGTGCATCCATCGAAACTGAGCAGAAAAGTGGCTCTTGTTTAGAACCAATAGAAACCTCAAGTTTATTAAACTCAAGTTTACAATGCTTAAAAGCTGATCTTAAAAGATCAAAAAGTGATAACTCGGCAATAAAACTCGATAACTCGGCGATAAAGTGGAATAACTTTTCCAATCTTCCTAACAAACCTCTTGAACCTTTTCTTTATACACCTGATGTTTTTTATAACAAAGAAGGAAACTTCTCCGAAATACTAATATAATTGTTTTTTTTTTATAAGAAATGTTTATAAGAAATCATTTAGTTATTTTACAAGAAATGTTATCATTTAACTCTATTACAAGAAATGTTATCATTTAGTTCTATGCAAAAAGATTCAACTTTTCACTTTAAGATTATACCTATCATTTTGAGAATTATTTGTTACTTATTTAAGACTTTTTATAAATTATATATATACAAAATATATATATAAAATATATATATATATGTGTATATATATATATATATATATATATACATATATATATATGTGTATATATATATATATATATATATATATATATATATATATATATATGTATGTATATATATATATATATATATATATATATATATATATATATATATATATATATATATATATATATATATATTCAGGGCCGACGACAAGGGTTTTGAAGTGGGGGGGGGGGGGGGGGAGGCACAATCATCAATTCGTGAAAAAAGTCCTCTATTTCAAGATTTTTCTTAAAAAAAAAAAGGTCTTTTAGAAAAAAAGTGGTCCTTTAGAAAAAAAAAAAAAAAATATATATATATATATATATATATATATATATATTGTATTAATTGTATAGTGTTGACTATAATATGTTTTGATATATTATAGTCATCACTGAAACGAACTAATTTTTTGACTAAAGTAGAAATTTGCTTCATTCATGATATTTTTTTACTTTCGTATTTTTATTAAATTGATTATTTTATTAGATTACTTAACTTGCTTATAGGAACTGTTTATTTTTTTTTAGTTTGCTTTTATAGAAACTGTTTTCTTTTAGTTTGTGTTTTGCTTGTAAAACTTTTTCTAATTTTTTTTAGAAAATCTGGTTTAAATTTGATTTTTAGTAGAGTTTAGCTGTTATTTAATTTTTAGCAGCCATATTACCATTTTTCCGTTAAAGTAATGAAATAATTGAATAATAGTAAAGAAAATTTTAACAAACAGCTACCAAACAGAGATAAATTCTATTCTTATCATACTTACATTGTTTTACTTTATCACTGTCCAGATTAATTTGTTTGTAATTATTACGTCTTCAATTAATTGATTATCCACTAGAAAGCGACTCTTATTTCTATCAGCATTGCAATTTGATCAACAAATTGTCTTTGCGAACGGATTGATGTTGACGTATTAAATAAAGTTAAAAGTTTTAGCAATACCAGCGCCCTAGGCGAGATTTTTATAGCGCCCCTAACTCAATACAACCCATACAAAAAAAAAGGCAAAGGGTATAATTAAACTATCAATTAGTACAATAATTAACTATTTACTAAAAAGAAAAACTAATAAAATATAACTTTGCTTGTCTTTCTATTCGCAAATTTTTTTATTTGCATATTTGAGTCTATATTTTCAGCAATTTCATTTTCGATTGATAAATTTAGTGAGTTTGTTAACTTAAACTGGGATATTGTTGATCTTAGATAGGTCTTTTTTAACTTTAGCTTTGAAAAATTTCTCTCCCAACTAGCAATCGTTAATATTCGCTATAACAATAGTCAATAATATTCGCTATCAACCTATTTGGATTTAGCTCTTGTAAGTTGCGATATTTAATGAAATTGAAAACAAAAACAGGAGTAACCGCATTTTTATCATATAAAAAAGCTTTCAGAATTCATTGCCAACATACTACCGTCTTTATCTGACTTGGAGTCCACAGTTAATTTCAAGTGGAGATTACCACAAAGTTCAACAAGGTTAGATTTTTCCACAGTCTGTTTTATATTGTACAAAAAAGGACATGATTCTGAATACTTACTTTAACTGATCGAATCTTTCATTGAATGAGCTTTATGTAGAGTCCAAAAAACTTTTTTCTGTGGAAGTTATAGGCTCATCGCGGACAGTTTCTCCAACTATACGCCTAATACATCGTACTATTGATGTGGTCTTAAACACATGTTTAATTTCTAGTTGTTCGGCCGATTTCTTTGTTGTTAAAATGCAGCATTTTTTCAACACTTTTACGGATTTACCAAGTTCCATGTACGTTGATTGTAAAGATGTCATGCCAAATAACTAACGAAGCTATGAAACATTCCAAATGATCGGTTAGAATTTTCCATCGATGAACAGAAGCTAAAAACAATGTAAACAACCTCTGAAGTACCCCAATAAAATGACTTATTTTGCAGACGACATAGCAGCATCATATAGTACTAGATTTTAGCTATGACAGGCACATGGTATATAAACAACTAAAGGATTTATGTCCGAAATTCTCTTTTGAACTCCGATATTTTTTCCCTTTTATTTCACCCCGTTGTCATAACCCTGACCCATTCAATTGTTTAATTCCAGTCCGTATTTATTTAAAACATCTATAATAACTTAAGTGAGTCTTTCATCAGTCGACTTATTGACAGTTAAAAATTTTATAAAATGTTCACTGATATTTTATCGTCATTTAATGATAAATCAATAAATCGTATTGCCAGTGAAAGTTGCTCTAAATAAGTAATGTCCGGAGTACAGTTGGCTATAATTTAATAATATTTTAATTTCTTTACGCGCGATACAATTTATGACTTCAATTTTTTACCTATCAGCTCTATTAATTGATTTTGTATATTTTTTCCACTAACCGCGAGTGCTCCTGGGCAACTGGATGAATGAATCTTGGCTAATAGTTGTATTAAGCTGCAATTATTTTGCTTAAAAACTTATAATTTTCTTTTAAGAAAAGAAAAGTTACAAAATTTTATGCACTTATTTATACTTGTTACAAAATGAGCCATATTAAAATCGTCAAGAAAACTCGACACCTTGTAATACCTTGTTACAAATTGACACCTTATAATTTCCTTTCTAATAAAATGTTGCTCTTAGCAGTCAATTGTTCTTCCTTTTTTTTATATATTCGTAGTTCACTCTCTATTCATGAAATGTAAAATTTCTTATGAGAAGTGCTGTTATCATAAATTTTTAGCATTTCAGACGTTTCCAGTTGTTATACTCTTCTGATACTAAACTCGGCGTTGATCTACTACCAATAGCAACAAAAACAATAAACTCAATCCTTAGAAATGGAGTATATTAACCAAAGACACTGTGTTGTTTTGGTGTTTTCAAGTTTTTTTGTGAAATGACAATTAGAGAAATGCTGGTCTGTATTCTTCTTTGGATAACTATCAATATGAGTTTGCACTTGGCAGTTAGATATTATATGATCAATAATTTTGCTATTTCGAATAAGTAGCCATAGTGCTGGATCATATATTTTTGGGACAACAGTACTAACAGTGCTAAAGTCATCTGGAAATTGTATTTGTTGCACATTGCCAACGGACTCATCACGAGTAAATATTTTAGTTGTAGTACACTTATCTCCTCACTTCGGGAAACTTCGTCCACAATATCTTCAATAACGATCTGATCTGATTTAAGTTCACACATTCAGGTCTTAATTTTTCGTTGTGATATATTTATCTATATTCAACTTTTTTGTTTTTTGAAATTCTTTTTCTTTTAAAAAAAAAGGCAGAAATTTTAGCCAACCGTTTTCTATATTCTGACCCAGATGGTTTTCTTTTGATAAGATCAACGTGTTCAAACATTTTGCAACAATGAGCAAAGTAGTAATCAATAAATTAAGTTAATCTCTATAAATCCAAATATTTATAAAAATTAATTACCACAATAAAACTTTGTTATAACGCTATTTGAGTAAGAGAATTTTTAATTGAAGTTCAACACTGATTGGTTAATTACTCATGTATGTTTTTTAGTTTAACTCACAAAATTTGCTTACGTCGAATACGTCGTTGTAGAATTTTCTTGACGATTTTATTTGGCTCATTTTGTAACAAGTATAAATAAGTGCATAAAATTTTGTAACTTTTCTTTTCTTAAAAAAAATTATAAGTTTTTAAAGCAAAATAATAGTATTTTTAAATAATTAAAGTTAATTGCGATCGAATCTCGAGCTACCAATAACATGATATTCCGCTAAATTTCGCCCCTTTCTATTCGGCGCCCAGGGCGATCGCCCAACCAGGCCCTATCCTAACGCCGCCACTGACTACACGCTTTTTAGTTGGTTCTGTTCCTAAATACTCACTAAACCTGAATTTCAAATATTATGTCTAACGTGTAAATTTGTATTTAAATAACGGGTACCTCGAATCGATGTCTACTCATCAAATGAAATTGAAAACTTAGTTCCACTGTTAATTTTTTTTTAACACCATTTTTTTAACAGTATTAGGAGGTTAAGGTATGTTGGTAAATTGCCTCATAGCCAGCCCAGAACATCTATCAATAAAGTGCATATTACGTTAAAAGATATCTCATCTTTAGCTGTTAATCTTGTAAGCACTTCAGAAACGTTGTCATCTTTATTCAAATATAATGAAAAGTATAATTTTTATTTTACTTTACATTTTACTTTTATTACTTTTTGGTTTTTCTTTACTAATTTACTTATTTATTATTGCTCTGTTCTTTAAGAACATTGATCACTCTATTTTTAGAATACACAAGCATAATATATGTATATATATATATATACATATATATATATATATATATATATATATATATATATATATATATATATATATATATATATATATATATATATATATATATATATATATATATATATATATATATTATGTTTTTTATTTTAAAAAAATCAATTTTAAAATAATTATTCTAAATAATTATTTTAAAATTGATTTTTTTAAGTTATTAAAAATTAAATTAATTTAAATATTTATGAAGAAGAAGAACGTGGTCAGAAAACAAAAAGTGAAAGAACCCTAAGGTCTAAAAAAAAAATTTCATTATCGAAGAAGCAAAACCAGCAATAAAAGGTAATAATTAGTTTTATAATGAATCCCTTGAGCTAAAAACTTTAGCTCAACTTTTTATTTCTTCTTTTTTGTAATTAAGGGTGTCAGCTTGCAACAGGGATGGAGATACTGTAGCACTTAACTTACAAACAATCATTTTTGCCTAGAACTTCAAAAAAAGCCACTATTCTTGCTTGTCCTCCTTAAAAAAAATTTCAAAGATGTGCAATAAAAAGTAAGTGTGAATGTATTTTGGCAAAGGTAAAAGAGCCATAGATTAAAGCTGTGTTTTTTATACCAAACGATCAAAGTCTAATGAAAAATCTTTGCTGGTAATGTAGCTCT